AGGACATTCGTTTCCAGCTTTTGAATTTTTAAGGACGTAACGAGTGGACCGTTATCTCTCAAATTGAAATACCACAAGAGGGTGTATAAAACGTTCGTGATTAAACGCGGTCGCCTGCTAAAAGGTATACGCACGAGTTTCCTCCCCTATTCCGAGTAGTGGCCATGTCCAATTCGAATGTCCAATTGAAAATTATTATTTTACGTATAATAGTATATATATATAAATATATATATATATATAAATAAATATATATATATATATATGTATGTATGTATGTATGTATGTGCGTTTGGTACGTGTTTTACCGAAAATGACACTGACTCATAGTTTGTTACGTCCTATTACGAGTGAAGGAATATTATTAATGAATATATCGTTATTGATACTCTAACAGTTTTATTTATTGACTTTTAATTATGTATTTATGAGAGTCTATCCGTAATGCCAGTATATAAATATATATGTATGTATGTACGTACGTATACGTGATCGTTGTTTGTATTAAATATTCGACCCAGGTATATAGAAGACGATTGATCCTATGTTCTTTCATAAATACGAAAACATTTAACGAGACCGATGAAATAGTTTGTTTACGTTTTTTCGTAGTACGTTACAAAATTTTGTTAAACGATGATGAATGAGTCATTATTATTCACTGGATAGGATACGCGTGACTTTCAATCGTCATAACGTGCCATTTCTATTTGGGACGTCTACGAGCTCGTAAGCATTCTCTAAAATTAATCCTAACTAAGACTAAATTCTATTATTATTTTTCGATCAATTAATTTTATTATATATATATATATATATATATATATATATATATATATATATATAATTAAGTATGATATACAACGTTTGTGGCTCTATTTTTATATCTATATACATATTCCATACCTATAACAAAGTTTTTACTTAAACACGAATATATTTATTTATAAATCAATTCGCAAAACATTTTCATTTATCATTAATTAACTTTCGATACATGCAAATTTTCTTGTAACAAAGGCCATTACTTTTAGAATTACATTTATATATGAATCAAACTCATTGCATTTTCGCTTGTTATCGTTTATATTACATTTACACTATTACTGATAATAGTAATAATAATAATAATAATAATAATAATAATAATAATAATCATAATAGTAATAATAATATTAAAAAATGTATTCACACCCACGCAGAGGCATACACCGTACACGCAGAAGAAGAAGTTGAATGGATCTAGAGTGAGGCAGCGAAAAGAGAGAAGAAAAGAGAAGAGAGAGAGAGAGAGAGAAAAAAGGAGAAAGAATGCAAAGAAAAAAGACGAGGAAAGGAGAGGAAAAAGGAAGAAAAAAGGAAAAAAAAGAATGAAAAAAAAAAAAAGAAAAAGGAAAAAGAAGAAAGATAGAGGAGGATTCGGAAGGAAAGAAGAGAGGAAGAAGGACAAGTGCATGGAGGTAAGCAGTAATTCCGTTTCGTTAAGCAATTCCGACGTGCTTCGTTCGATAACGTCCGGCGACCGGAGCTTCTCATAACGAATGAATTTATTCGTGCGCGAGTTTACGCGGACCGCGTTCACCTGGAAAATTTACAGGGAACGCTTGGAATATACATACATATACATACATACATACATACATATATATATATATATATATATATATATATGCATACATACATACATACCCGGCGCAGAGATACGCGAGCAACGTGCACGCTCCGCAGAATTTCGTATTCTTTCACGCGCGACCCCTTCTCGAGGCAACCCTCACCCTCACCCTCACTCTCGCCATCCTCACCCTTCATCCTCTATTCCCTCATCCCCCATTTCCCATTTCCCATCCTCCCTATCCTCTCAACTATAGCTTCAACCTCTCTATCTCTATCTCTTTCTCTTGCTCTCGCTCTCGCTTTTTGTTTCTCTACCGTTGTCTGTTTATTCTCATACGCGTCGGTATCTCCGACGAATTTACGATAATCGTTCTCCTTTCATATATTTCCGAAGAGTTTTCTCCAGTTTCCATCCGGAGCCCGATTCTTTCTCGAAAACAAAAAAAAAAAGTCCTCTCGATCGAAGATATTATTTGTAAAAAGAAAATAAAAAAAAAAAAAGAAAAAGGAGAAGAAAAAAAAGAGATAACATACGTATCGCGAATAATGATTTTTACTCGCTGATTCAGGGATATTTTTTTGTTCGTTTTTTTTTTTTTCTTCTTTAATTTTTATATGTTAATATTAATTCGAAGTATTATATGAACGTACGTTATTCACATATATCATATAGATATATACATATCATAGTTTGTAAGTTATTATTAATAATTAGAAGAATTTCATCTATTTTCTGCTTTTATATATTTTTGAAGAATTTTTTCAATCTCCATGGAGTCCCGGTTTTTTTTTCGAAAATAAAGAAAAAAGTCTTTCGATCCATGAAATATTTCTAAAAGAGAAAATTCGTTTGGCCGATCATTATTTTTACTCGCTGATTCAGAGA